CTGCCTTAGGGAATGTGATCTGTTTCCTGTATATAAGGAGAAGCCTTCAGGAATGGTCTCTAGCTTATGGCATGCTTGGACCCTGCATGTAGGCCGTGTTGTTGTCCAGCAGCCTACCATGCTCTTCCATCCTTGGGACTTACAATGGACTTGAATTAATGGCCTGCTGTGTGGTTTGGTAACATTGGGACTGTGCCTTTTTACTTGTCAACCTTGAGCTTGGCAGCCTGAGCAGCCAGCAGCTGTCTGAGTGAAGGAAAGCTTCTAGCTTCAGTGGGCCAGGAGCTGGAAGCAGAGCTGAAACCCAAAGCTGAGGGGCTTTCACCCAGCCCCTAGAGCCTGGCACTTTGAACTTGGACTTAAGGCCTCCAAACTGTAAGAGAATAAACTTCTATTTGTTAAGGCCATCCCATTTGTGGTACATTCTTATCAGAGCAGCACTAGGTAACCAGAACATCTCTTATATAAAATGGCATCGTATTTTCATGGATTCACACAGTGGGTGCAACGATGGGCTCCATCATGGCAGCTGTTGTGAAGATGTTGTAGGGCCAGGCAGCATTTCACTCTGCTGTATACAGGATAGCTTTGAGTCACGGCACCCAACAACAACAGTATTTGCATATAACCCACAACGGTATTTGCATATAACCTATGCACATCCTCCCATATACTTAAATTTTATCTCTAGTTTACTTATATTAGGAGCTCTGGTGACATAGTGCCTAGGGCATTTGACTGCTAACCAGAAGGCTCGGGTTCAAACCCACCAGCCACTCCTCAGAAGGAAGGGTGGGCAACTTACTTCCGTAGTGATACCACCTTGGAAACCCAAGGAGGGGTTGCTATGAGTTGGATCCGACTTCCGACTTGACGGCAGTTGTTTTTTTGGTTTAGTTTACTTATAATACCTAGTACAATGTAAATGCTACATAAATAGCACGTTCCATTCCTTCTCAGCTTTTTTGAGGGATTGCTTTGACTACTTCATTGCTTTGCACCCCCTCCCCTGAATATTTTCGCTCCATGGTTGGTTGCATCCATAGATGCAGAACCCATAGATATGAACGGCCAAAAGGGCCAACTGTACTGTGCTTCTGAATTCTTGCTAATCATTAACAGTCAATTTTCATTTTGGACACTAATTCAGCTAAAGTTCTCCACATCAAATAAAATGGCTTTGAGAGTTTTTAAAACAGCGCGGCATGACGTACAAGTACTGTGCTCAGAATTCTGATAGCATATTTTATAACTTTTACCTTTGTTGTATTTATTAAGATGTTTCTAAGTTTTTATAATAAAAACAAAATTTGATTATTATATCATCTGCATGCACAACAAAAAAAAATTGTCTTCATGTGGTAGGCGTTGTTAGATGTTTAACTTGTATGAAAGGTTTAAGAGAAAATGCCTAGGGGGCAGTTAGAGATACAAGATTGAAGTTTAGAAGAGGGAACAGGTTTGAGTTACAGACATAAAATCACCTTTATCACCAATATCATCAAAATATTAAGGTAAGGTTCTTTGAGTGCTTGGTAGGCGCCAAGATTTTAAAGATTTTACTTATTTAATATTCAGTGTTAACCTTATGAAATAGAAACTATTATTATACTCATTTTACAAAAGGAAAAGAAGTTAAGTAACTTGCCCAAGGTCACAGTAACTGGTAAAGCCAAGACTCAAACCCAGGGTCTTTGTTCAGAACTTGGCTTTTAAACATTCTCCTAATAACAAGTAAAGGTTGCGAATGAAATCAATTCTTCCCCAAAAAACTGTACAGAAAGAGAAGAGCAGAAGGCCAACATATTGACCACAGAATAAAAATGATAAAAGCAAGAGAAAAAAGTGATTAGAATAATATATGAAGAGCCAGGATTCCTCCAAGAAATTAAAATCATACCAGCTTTCATCAAAAGGGATGCGTTCAGCGTCAGAGAAATGAAATCTCTTTATAATAATAGTCAAACCTTTGGCAATCGTCTGTGTACTATTCAGTTTGAAGAAATCCCAATAGAAAGAAATAACTTGGAACTGGTTCATAGCTCTTATCGCTTGCCATCCTTTCCAAAACATTTAAGTACATATCATAAGCCAGGTACTTGTGTAGATAATCTAACTTAATCTTCAGAACAACCCAGAAAAGTAGACATTATTTTTCATGTTCTATAGATGAAGAAGGGAGCTCTGGTAGCATAGTGGCTAAGACACTTGCCTGCTAACCAGACCGCTGGGGGTTCAAACCCACCAGCCACTCCTCAGAAGGAAGGTTGGACAATCCTACTTCCGTAGTGATACTGCCTCGGAAACCCAAGGAGGGGTCGCTATGAGTCGGATTTGACTCGACAGCACACAACAACAACATAGATGAAGAAAATTAGTTTCAGCTTAAATAACCAGCCAACATATCACCATTGGTATCTGGAACCAGGTCTGATTCCAGTCTGTATTCCTCCCAATCTATCACACAACTGTCTCAGAAAGCACTGATGGCAGACTATCTTGCCATTGGCCCGCATGCCTTTTGCTTAAATTTAACTCAAAACTCTATGCTTTAAAAATACACGCTTGCTTTAAAATCTTCCTATCTAAAATGACTTGACTTAAATATTGACAATTTTCTAATTAGACTTACTTTAACTTAATTTGGTCTTTAAAAATAACATTTAAAATATACCATTATTTGGTTGATTGCCTGTACCACAGTTGTACTAAGATTTTATCCATCTAGACACTTCATGCCTTTCTTCCTGGTCCTTAATAAATATGCAAATAAATTCTCTCTTAGCAATATCATTGTTTCACAGATATTATATTAGAATAGACTGTTTTCTTTCTCCTTGAATGCATGTCCTTTTTGGCCCCAAAATGTACAACCTTGTGCCTATGTCTCCAATTTATCATGGCAACTTGGAATTCTTCTATCAAAGTACCAATCCGTTCCTGTCAGCTCTGACTGATGGCAACCTCACGTGTGTCACAGTAGAACTGGCTGCGTAGGGTTTTCAGTGGCTGGTTTTTTGGAAGTAGATCGTTCTTCCCAGGAGCCTTAGGTTGGACTCAAACTGCCAACCTTTTGGTTAGCAGCTGAGCACTGACCATTTGTACTACCTAAGGATTCCTCATCAGAGTGGAAACAACTCATAACATATAAAAAGCACCACACTATAATCACAAAATAGTAAAATAATAATTTTTAAAAAAGCACGGGCTTCAGAGTCACATCTGGGTCCCAATCCTAGCTCTGATCCTGAGCAGATCACTTAACTTCTCTGAGCCTCAGTTTCCCCATGCATAAAACAGGAGTAATAATATCTGCTCACAGGGTTATGGCAAGGACGAAATGAGACATGTACAGTATCCAGTACATATTAGTCTTCTCAGCAAATAACTGTAGCAGTAAAGACATTTTATGTAACATCACTGTTTTTCATGATATCAACTTCAAATAGCAAGGGATGTGTGTCAAAATTACTGATTTACCAACTCACTTATTGTCACCGAGAATTCTGGTAACTGTGTTTCTAATGCCATCATGCAACTCAAGGAGCCCTAGTGGTGCAGTGGTTAAGCACTCAGCTCCTAACCAAAGAGGTCTGCAGTTTAAACCCACCAGCCACTACACAGGAGAAAGATGTAGCAGTCCGCTTCTGTAACAATCATAGCCTTGGAAACCCTATGGGGTAGACTGACTCCATCCTATAGAGTTGCCGAGTCACAACGGAGTCAAAGAAACGGCTATGTAACTCAATATTCACACCCAGTTCCCTTTCCCAGCACAAAATGAGGAACCTCTCTTCAGGTATGACCCCTAAACCCGTTACTTGCTTGTCATTAATAATGTACTTCTATTAAAATCTAGTAATGAAAATTACAAGTTTTACCTTCTTTTTTGACTGTTTTACTCAATTTTTCATATTCTGTAATCGCTATTAGATAGTGGAAGCACTTAACCAAAAGACTAAAGTTCTGAGGTCTGTGACTAATACAATCTAAAACCACCACCACAGGAAAAAGGATGTGAAGTAGACAGTGGGGTTGCTGAATCAGGGACTGAATTTTAAAATCCTTATTTCCCAACACCAAATAGTAAGCTAAATTAAAAGAGTGTTAAATTTCAGGCAGAATTTGCTGAACACACAAATATGAATATGATTTTCCAAGGACTATAAAAATGAGATGCTGCTCACTTACTCACAAAAGTTGAGTAGGATTTCTTGTATGTGTGTGTTCAGTAAGTGTGTGTACATGTGTGCGTATTGTGTGTGTGCATGGGTGATACAGGAATGGGACAGTGTTCAGTCTAATAGCTTGCTGTACTATACAAGGGTATTGCCAAGAGATTTCTTTACTCCAAAAAGTAGACAGGTTAACTGTTGGAAATTCTGTAATTAAGTAAAATTTACAGTTTACAATTATATATCAGTTTATACTTTACAGCGTTGTTATGTATATATTCAATCTGATACCTCTAAAGAAAGAAATTTATTAACTCTTTTGCTCTCCCATTTTCCCCCCATCAAGGACAGAGCTAAGGAACACTTGATCAGGAAAGGTAATATAAAGCTGTCACTGTAAAGTGCCACAAAGAATAAAGGGGAGGAAGGCAGGACGCTGGAGCAGCCACAGAGATTTAAAGGAAAACGACTTGAATGTTAGAGTGAGGAAAACCCAGGGGTTGCAGGGGAGCTAGGCAATACAAAGGGCAGGTCGTGTACACTACAGAAAACAAGAACCACAAAGCATTATGTTCCACGTTCTAAAGTAACATGAAAAGATCGTGAAGGAAGAGGTGGAGTTGAGCTTGGTGGTTTCTCAAAACACAAGCAGGTAACCACCAAGCGTGGTTTCTGAGTAAACTGGGTTCAAAACGCACTGGGTGGCAACAGAATCTTCCTTAGCCCTTTACAGTAGAAATTTAACAGGGATCATTTGAGGATCTGCAATTTTACAGAGCAGTGGCATCCAGGGCAGCGTCTATTCCGTCAATCAAGTTTCATTTCTTACAACCGTGGAAAAGGAGTTTCCGCGCAGGGATGAACAATATCAATGGGAAGTCGATACTTGAGCCATCTTTTGGAGATTCCTGCTGAAAGGACTGCAAGGGTGTCTCCAGAGAAAGCACTTGCCTGGGTATGACTCAAGGCTGGGCAGGAATTCACATTATGTATCCGGGTGGTGGGAAGACGGAGAAGTATGCCTACAAAGATCAAAGAGCCAGGAATGGAAAACATACTAAAAACCTTCCCAGTGGACAGGCTGCCTCCCCAAGGATAAGAAGACCTCTTGAATCCTGACTGTAATCAAGACCACACAGTGCCCTGGATGCCACCAGCATAGACAAAATAAAAAAAAGAGGATGGAGGCAGTGTGAATATATAAATGAAAGGAAAGAGGAGAAACAGAAGCAAGCAACAAGGACAGAAAAAGAGAAATACTCCCACCGGGGGGGCACAAGTACCCCCCACTGATCTGTCTCTACATACTAAACCCACTGCCCACTGCCATGGAGTCGGATTCGACTCACAGCAACCCCTCCTTGGGTTTCCAAGGCAGTACCACTACGGAAGTAGATTGCCCAACCTTCCTTCCGACATACTACAGGTTACCTAATCTCAGCTGCCTACTGCACCATTAAAAATGACAAAGGAGAGATATGGTTTCAGAATCTTAGTCTGGGGTAAATGTCTAAGACTTCTGCTGCCCAGGGTACAGTCAGCTGGGACTACCATCGCATCCGGGTGATTTGCTGAAATGTACTCACAGGGACTCATATCTTTAAATGACATCTGCCCAACTCTGCCCACTTGAAGATGAATTTGGAGAAGAGTTAAGAGGTCAGTGATTACTCAAGAAGACTTTTAGCTTAACATTTAAAACAAAACAAAACAACATTTATTCTCTGAAGGAACTCTCAGATTCAGGGGCACTGAGATACCAAACAGGAAAGTATTTGGTTGAAGGTTGAGAGGTGCTACAGTCTCCACTATTAAAAAAAAGGGGGAGACAGGGAAGGTGAGAATTAGGCAAAGCACAAACAAGCTGCCCTTTTCTAACAGGGAGCAGATGCTCCCCAAAGTAGCAAATAGGAATTGGGGATAAGGAGTAGAATGTCTCTTCTTGAAACCCCCAGAAGAACCTTAATTGTCCCTGTCCTAGAGAACCCTAAAGTGAGAGGATTAGGAGTTCTATAAGACCTGAAACCTGAGCCACGCTACTGACTTTCTCAGATGTCTCACACCTACTCAGAAACAAGGAAAGAAGGAAATCTTAATAGGTAAATTGAATAGTAGGAAGACAGTCCTTACCCAGCGAGACCACGTTCCCATAATTCTCTAACATCACTTCTCTGTAGAGATCTCTCTGAACAGGGTCCAGGCATCCCCATTCCTCTCGAGTGAGGTACACAGCCACATCCTCAAATGTCACAAACTCCTGTAATAACACATCCTGGCTGCTTGGGGGAATAAACCCACTGTAGCACCATGGCAAGAGAATGACGACAGAGGGTGCCCTGTGCGTATTTACGTTGGGGAGGACCGAGGGCAGATTAAGACTTAGGGACTGAGTCCTACACCCCTGTGAGATCTAACAAGCACCCATCCTAGCACCATGGACAAAGAACCGACACAGGGAAGAACCATGGTTGCTTGCATTTCTGGGGATACAGGTGCTGGTATGTGTGAAGTCCAGGTCCCTAAAGAGGATCAGTTCCCAATGTGGCGGCTGCCACTGAAAACACTTCCAGGCGAGGGTTATAAACGTAATGAGGGAGAGGCCACTCTCCATCAGCAGCAACTGTCCCTGAGGCAATGCAGGGGATCCTCAGCTCACCTGGTACCTGGCTGTCAGGAGCGCAGCTGCCTGGTCTCCTGGGCTTCCCGCATGGGGAAGAGCAGGCACCTGGGGAACAGGTGGAGCTGAGGGAGGAGAAAGGAGCCAACAGTGAGAGCTTCTCCAGCCCGAGGGGGGTCAGTGAGACCCTTCACATCAACATTCTAGTGAACACTTATCACACATCTCTACCCTGTTTGTTCTCAGCACTTGTGTGCCCTACTTACACATTTGCACCTACCTGTTACATAGGATTTTATTATGAAATCTCCTATTTCACTTTATCCTCATGACATGCCACTCCTCAGACAGAGGGACGAGCACCAGGCCTGTCTTGCAGATGGGCAAATCAAAGCACGAAGACCTGAAGTGACTTTGCCAGGACCACAGCTACTTAGCCTAGACCCTTTCCCATGTACTGTTCCATAAAAGCTTTTCTCTTGTGAATGGGCATTATCTCTGCAACCAGAATAAGGCCCCCAAGAGCAAGGAACATTTATCCTTACAATCCTTTCCACACTCCAACAGGGGCCCATAACACTCTACACATTGTGGCATTTGACCTGCTGCTGACACTCAGGTTATTATAGGCTCTGGAGTTGTCCATAAACAATGTAAGGCACAGTTTTTACAAAACAAAAGAACAAGAAGAGAGAATCAACTTATACAATAATAAATATGTGACTATAACCTTATTTAATATGCACACATTCATACAAATATAGTGCTCAACCACAGTATTAAATGTTGCTTTCTGGGTCAAAATCAGTCACAAACACTGCGATTTCAACAGAACAGCAGGTGGTAAAACACACAAGGTCATCAAAGAATGAGAATCTAAATGAAGGGAACAGGGGAAGGGACAGACCCTAAATCCGCAAGGAAGTAAGGAAAGGCTAACACTGAGGGCCAGGCGAGGATCGCAAGATATGGTAACAGGAGCGTATCTCAGAAGTTATTCTGGATGTGGTGAAATAACTGGGATGAAGTGAAGACTGAGGGAAAGCAGCCAGAGCAGCGTGACAACTACTTTGCTTATTAAAGAAAGATGGGATACACTTAGAGAAGCCTAGACCTTTAACAGCGGGGCCTCCCTGGGGGCTGAACTGAGTCACGTCTGTTCCTCCCTTCCAGATCTTCCCCTAGGGGTCATCTTCTTACTGTTCAGGCCCAGGAACCCCACTATGCTCCCATTCTTCTGGATGTAAGCACTTTCTCTGCCTTACCCCCAATGGGTCCCTGTTCCATGACGGTCTCCTGCACGAACTGAGGCTCTGGGGACAGACCCTCAGACTGGGTGTCCAGAGACTGAAACTGGACCCTTGGTGATCCTGCTGTTTCCTGGACCGATATTTGCTCCATCCCTGTTCTGGAGAACAATGACCATCACTGCAGGACAAGATTAGGAAAAATTACTGTAGTAAATTAAAATATCCCATCTTCTTATAGCCTCAGGACTTAGCAAAGGATCTTACACACTGTAGCTATCCACTGCCATCAAGCTAACTCCAACTCATAGCGACTCCCACTGGGTTTCCACAGCTGCTGATCTTTACGGAAGGAGACTGCTTCATCTTCCTCCCGCAGAGCAGCTGGTGGGTTTGAATTAGCAGCCAAATGCCTTAGCCACTACGCCACCAGAGCTCACACTGTAGATACTCAAAAAAAATAGTTGATAAGTTAACAACCCCAAATAAACAACAAAAAAATGGATATTATTCCATTTCAAATATATAATAATCAAATCAAATGGTCCAAATATTCAGGCTTATTTAAACTCCACCAACATTAGAGTCGCTATAAGTAGGAACTGACTCCACCACATGGGTTTGATACGCGTATTAAGGATTTGTGATTATTTCCAAAAAATCAAGACAGTACGATTTAATAGTATAAAGATTTCTGTAGAAAGTTTGAAAATGTGAAATTTTTAAACACCCAACGCTCAGGTTTGTACCCAGAGAAACATGTAAATTATGGTTAAAAGCAGGACCCTTGAGGATTTACTTGGAAACCCCGTCAGCACATTTTGAATTACTAAGTGGGCTTATCTGAAGGAAGGTTGGGCAATCCTACTTCCGTAGTGATACTGCCTCGGAAACCCAAGGAGGGGTCGCTATGAGTCGGGGCCGACTCGACGGCATATAACAACAAGAAGTGGGTTTAACCATAATAAAATTCCGCCTTCGGGAGCTCCTCTTCTGACTCTGACTAGGTTGAGCAGGCCTTTTTCCACAATCCCGCGAGAAACAGAAGAAAGAGCTGCGATTCGGAGGTTTCTGCTGTTGCCCCTTAAACCCAAGCAGGTGACAGGGTTCCGTCCTCCTTTCACAACCTTCAGGAAGGGGCCTCGCAAAGGCCTCGTCTGGCGCTGCCCTCCTCCCACTTCCCTTTTAGGAGAAAACACGCTCTCAAAAGGGCAAGGCGGGCCACAGAGTCCCAGCTCACACTTGAGCACAGTCACAAGTCCTGACCGTAGGGGCGCGGGGCGCTGGCGCGAACCAGGGCTGACGACAAATAGGCTGCGACTGCCCCGAGGATCGAGAACCGCCGTCGTCCCGGGCCTGCTGCCTCTTCGTCCTCGGGAAGCTAGAAGAACCGGCCGCCCCACTGCGAGCCTCAGAACGGCTTCCGGATAACTCACCCGCAAAGGGACAGAGGGGCGGAGTCGGCCGACGTCCTGAGACGGACGCCTCCGCCCCGAAAATCTCTCCATTCTTCCCGAGGCTGCTCTAGGCATCCGAAGGCCGGCGCCTCTCGGTGGCACTTCCGGCAGCGGAGTCCAAAGCCTGGGCGGAGGGAGGGGCCTGGCGGGGTTCCCGGATAAAAGGCCGGGCCCTCCTGGTCCTTAGGCTACAGGGACCGGTTGAGATCAAGACGGGGTTTAAGTTCTCTCCTCAAAAAAAAAAAAAAAAAAAAAAAAACTCTCTGGCATCCAGTTGGATCCGACTTATAGGGACCCCTCCATCTCTACGGAAGTAGATTGTCCACTCTTCCTTCCACGGAGCGGCTGGTGGGTATGACAAATATATGTGCACTACCGAATATGGCTGGTGTGGCTTTTGTTTTTCTTCCAGTCCCACCTCCTCGTTTACCCCCGTGTAGTAACCACAAAGATCCGGACACTGGGAAAACGCCCCTCTGCTTGCCTTTGGTGGCACCAGTCCATCTTCAAGACTCCCCGCAGCTAAAGTTCTGGGAAAAGGTGTGGGGAGGAGAGTCATTGAACAAGTTGGGATAGAAGAGAGACTGAGTTGTGGTTTCGGTCAAAGCACTGTTGTAAGTGTCGGGGAGTGGGTTTTCAGCTCAATGACCCGATGTGACAGAGTAGAACTGCCCTGTAGGGTTTCCTACCCTGTAACGTTTACAGAAGCTGTTCTCCAAGGCTTTCTCCCATGGAGCCCCTGGGTGGGTTCCAACCTCCAACTCTTTTGCTGTCTTAGTGAAAGCACTAAACTGATGCTCCATTATACAAGAAAAGATACTATTGAAGGAATAATTGCATTTTATGAAAAGAAGTCTACATGTCATCTTATGAGAAAATGTGCGCGTGCCCTCCTTCCTTGTAGGAGAAACTGCAAGTTTTCATTTGATAAACAAAGGGAAAGGATGTCACATCAAAGAGACAAGTGAAGGGGAAGGAAGAAAATTTTACAAGAAGTTGTCAAATCAAATATTTTCTTAACAATTCTTAGCCACGCATTAATTCCTTATCTCCAGATAGAATTTTATTAAAGCAATATTTCTAAAACATTATGTAAATATATCGGGGTCTTATGACTGAATGTAGATCAGGTCAATTTTAGTTGAAGTTCTTCAAATGTAAAACTGATTTGGTTAAAAGAAGAGGAGGGACAATTCAAGATGGCGCACTAGGCAGATAGACTCTTCAGACCCTCTACAACGAAGACTGGAGAAACCAAATGAGTGGATATGGATGACAATCCTGGAACCCAGAGTTTCAAAGGAAAGGATAAAGAAGTAAATCAGATAGGAAGAGACTGGACAAAAATGGTGAACAAGGAGGCTGCAGTGCAGTGAATTACTTTCTATGGTTCTTCTAACTCTGGTCTTTGTGGCTACCACCAGATGACTGGGTGGAGCTATGCAAATATAAGGTGCTCTTGGCTCACCAGGAGATTGGATAACTTAACAATAATGTAAATAAGGCACATGGTGCCCTTGTCTTGGTAAAAAAAAAAAAAGGACTGTGCAAATAATGGGAGGATTAGTCAGTTTTGCCATCTCACTAGACTTAAAACGAGCCATCCCAGAAGTGGAAAAGGGAGCTCTCACTGTTATTAAGAAAGAACCAAGAGTGGAGCACGTGCTTGGATCTGAGATCCTTGTGCTGAGATGGCAGAGAGAGGCAGCAGCAAAGGCAACTGAACCAACAGACGAGCATGAGATGGAGTGGTGGGCTTTCTGGCCCAAAGAACAAGCAAGCTGAGTGTCTTTAGGCAGGAGGCTTGCTGGCAGAATGAGGTGCACCTATCAACAGAGCTGAAAAAGCTTTGTAACACTTGCCTGAGCAGGGCAGAAGCCAGGCCAAGAGGCCAAGGGCCCAAGAGAGGCCTATCTAGGGGCATGAGCAAGGGGAGGCTGTCTTGAATGAAAGAATTGTATCCTGAGCATTTCTGAACCTGAATTGTAGCCTGTTACTTTCCTAATAAATCCCATAATTGTGCATACTTTCTGTGAGTTCTGTGTGGTCATTGCAACGAATTATCAAATGCAGCAGAGAAGTAAAGAATGCCATGGGAGATGGTTGGTGGCAGAACTGGCAAAAAGATTAGAGGGTGGTGGCATGGCTAAACTCGACTTTATAGGAATCAGCCTCAGGCTGCTGCTGCTGATGGTGATTATGTCTCTTCCTCATGAAATTACAGGAGGTCAGCCGCTGCTGGCCCCACACCCTTTTTGCAGAGCCACGTGGAGTGCAGGAGTGTGCGGCCATTTTGGATTATTGCATGCAGCTTTCCAATCAGGGCATGAACCAGATAACTGGCTCCACTTGCAAAACACTGTGCTGGTACTCACATTGGTGACTGGTGACCAGAGAGGTGTGATCTTCTCCCTGTGCCCTGCACAACCTCCTGGTAACCAGAGGCATGGCCTTCCCATCCCCATCAACCTTTTTTTTCCCCCTTTTTTGTTTTCTTTATCTTTCAGCTTAGTTCTTCCCTCCACCACCCTCTTTTTTCCTTTTCTTCCGCTCCTCCCACCTTTTTTTTTGATCCCGCAGAGTGGGTGACCTGTCCCCTGCCACATCCCCAGTCAGCAGCACCCACCCCTCCCCAGTCCGCATTGTGTCCTCCCACAGAATGAGTGCTACAGCCATGTTTGACAGCCATCATTTTCACCAGCTCTGTGCTGCTTTTTTCTCTTTTTTCTTTCTCCTTAGTTCTCCCTTCTTCTCTCTCCTTATTTTTCACTTGTTTTCCTTTATTTTCTTTTCTCACACCAGGACTGGGCTGCCTTCTTATTTTTTTTTTCTTCTTAAATGATCCCTCTTCCCCATAATCATTTTCTTTCTTCCTTCCTCTTCATCCACCTCCCTTTTTCTTCTTTCTCTTTTTCTCTCCATCAGTTGAGAGCCAGCAACCCCAGCCAGCCATACCCACCACACCTGCTGCTTCACCCACTGGGCGAGTGCCACTACTCGCTCCAGCACCACTCAATCTACAACAGACAGCAGCCAATACCTGCCTTCAGCAGCTCTACACAACCAGTGATCAGAGATTTACACTCACTCTCTTACCCACTACCAAATCCACCGTGACACAGGTGGTGAGCACCCCAGTACTGCAAAACCAGCAACCACAGTAGCAAAACTGCCCCATTGCCCAAATATATTAAAACAAAACAATAAATACAATAAAACCTCAATATCTCAGATATTACAGACAACTTCAAATCACACAAACACATGTTGTAGGAACAACAAGCTCTTACCCCGTCTCAAAGAGCCAATGATCACAACAGGTTGAAGTGGAAATACAAAAGGCTTATTGAATATCAATACCCAAGGAGACAGCAAGAATCACTTCTTTAAAATGTGTGTCTCCTTGACCAAAGGGGTCTATATGGTTACGTAGAGAGATGGGAAGGGACGTGAACATCCCTTGGACGGCCAGGAACGTCTTTGTTCTTCTTTTCCCTGGTTACTCCAGCCTTAGTGTCCCTCTTCCCAGGGATGTCTTGCTTCATAAGCTACAATTCTCAGCAAAATAAGTCGTGGGAGAGGGTTATGCTTAGAAGAATGCATAATCAAAAATAGCAAACATAAAGAGCTCAACATCCATAAACCAAAAAAAACCAAACTCACTACCTTCAAGTCGAGTCTGACTCATAGTAACCTC